ATATGGCAAACTTTCAATAGCGTTATAGAAATATCTTTTATTGCAAAAATTGGATAAAGAAAACTTAACTTGATTAATGCTATATATTTGATGGTTTTTTGAGCGTATAGTGTTAAATTCAACTTTATCCTTCAAATCACCATTTAATGTTTCTTCATACTTGTCATAGTTTAAACAGGTCGCCACTTTATGTTTAACAATGCCTTTACTCCTCTTATGTTCTTCATCTTCTCCATACACTTTATAACAATATGATTTAGGTTTCAAACCTATGAAGTGTGTCATTATTTTCCATTTAACTCATCCTTCATTTTCCCAAGAACTTTTTTATTAGAAGCATTATAACATTCATGATTTTTAGGATAATCTGAAAAATCCATATGTTGATTTATAAGCTTAAAATCTGTGTAAATATCATCAGTTTCAACATGGATAATAAAACTATCAGTGTCAGTATATGCTAATTTTATTTTATCGTTATATTTAGGTTTTAATACATCATAATAAAAAGAATACATATGAATTTTAGAATAATCTAAAATTGATAGACCCATATAAATAGGTTTATCTAATTCTACCATTGCCTTTTCAAGTTCTACCACCACTAAATCTTCATTTATAATGTGTCTATGTTTGTATGATGGTTTATTTACTAATTTCTGGAAGCGTTCAGGTGTATTGATTAGTCTGAAGTCATTGTGATTACGAACGTTTTCGAGTGTTTTTCCATATACAGCGTTATTTAATAATTTGAATAAATCTTTTTCAAATTCAGTTTTAGCATTCTTTCGTTTTTCGGTGTTGAAATCAATGTATGGTTTTAAGAAATCTGCTTGATTAAAACTAATTACCCTATGGACTTTCTTTAGTTTTAATCCATGCTCTAAATAAAACTTCAATGCTGATATATGTAATACATACTTTTTCTTATCCATAACATTTAATATTAGTTTATTTGTTTTTTCATCAGATGCATCTTTTCCATAATATTTTTTATGTATTTCTTTTTGAACTGGTGAAAGCATATTCTCACTAACACTCATAATTTCTGGTGCTAATGGATAATCTCTATGTAAATCATGTAATTCTTTTGGATATTCTAAATCAACTTCTAAAATATAGCCTTTGTCATCATCATCGCTATAACTTAATACTTTCTTCTCATCCATCCTTGAAAAATACCAATTGAAATTATCAAACGGTAGTTTTTTACTCATAGCCAGACCATACAAGTTATTAGCATCTAAATAACTTATATAACTTGATGGTTTTGACTTCATATTGTTCATTCATGTATTTATTATTTGCTTCTACTTTTTTATGAGCACATTGAGTCATCCCGCCACGAAGACCTTTTTCAATCATTTCATACATATCTTTATTATGTATTTGTTGAAGTCTAACACCAGTAAGAGATAAGAAGGCAGACCACGAATAATTAGGTAATGTTATGTAATGAGCAGGGTCTAAACCATAATAATTTAAGCACATATCCCTAAAGTTTTCAAAAACATCACTAAGCAAATAAACATCTGTCATCAAATATAAATCATGGTAATAACCTAGGTTTTTGATATTGAAATTATCCCATATTACTTTTGCCCTTGTGTGTTGTGTATCTGTTATGCCTTCTTCATATAATTGACTGTAAAAGTCTTCTATACTTGGTAATTGCGATTCATTGAATTTATCAAATGAATTCATGTAGTCGTAAGGATAAACTCCTTTTTCAGTTAATAAGTCTAAATCGGTTTTATTTCTAATATATGGATTTGCTGATGAAAATCGGAAATTATCCTCCCAGTCATTCCGCTTTTTATATATAGGTTTATCATGTTCATCCTGACCTACTATGTCATATTTATTTAACTTAACTAATTTATCCAAAGATGCAGAGAGAAAAGCCATGCTATCTTTAAACTGTAATGAACCAAATGAAAATGTAATAAACTTTTCGCTATTTTGTGCTATTACATCTATTCTCTTATTTTCGTTCAATTCCTTATTTATTTCATTTGCTTTGCCTATGATTAAGTGAGAGTCATAGTTTTTTAAATTATGAAAAAATACTGGTATCTTGAAATATCTAAATGAATAATCCAAATTACATTTTTCGTGAGCACAACCTCTATAATCACCGGTAAAATGACAGTGGTCTCTGACTTTTGTATCTTCTGGTTTAAAATTCTTATTACATATTGAACATACAGTAGCTTTTCTAAATTCTGCTTCTTGTTCATCTGTAATATCCATTGGTTTATTAACATTCATTTTATCAAAAATATCTTTTTTAATTTCTCTTAATTTATTTACAAAGTGGTCTAAACAATCCTCTCCACGGTATAAAAAAGGTTGACTTGTATTATCAATAGAATTTACAACATTCAACATATAACCACATGGTTTATGTTCCTGATACGTGCCCTTGATGCCATTATTTGAATTTACAGTTATACACTCAAAATCTCCATAAACAACAAATGGACATTTTAATTTTGTATTGTATTTTTCAAATTCAATATAACTACCTTCTTTTGGTAATTTAAACTGTTGTCCATGTGTTGCCATACAACCAGTTTCATAATGTTTTGTTAATAAATCCTTTCTAGTAAAGGCATGAGAACAATAATGACAATAATGTTTTGGTTGGTCATTTTTGTTTGTTTGCCAGTTCATTAGACGACTTAGACTTTTAATAACTACATAATGATTATTATTATTGATTTCAATTTTCAAAAGGTTTATTTGATGTTTAGCATCTCTTGTTTTAGTTCTGTAATCAATTATAATTTTTTCGTCATTCAAAGTATCATCAATTTCATAAACATTGATTGAAACTAACTTACTATTATTTTCTTCAAACCTTTCAATATCTTTATTACCAGTTGGAAATTTAACACCTTCCCAGTTTAAGATATTGTCTTTTAATTTGTTGTAATGGAACATTTCTTGGGAATTTGATTTATTAATTATATCAAACACTACACTTTGAACACTATATTTAAAACATTTGTTATCTGTGTTTTTGATATTAATACATGCCTTTTTTAGTTTAATCCATTCTGGTAAATCTATATAACTACCCGCCCTAGTTGGGTCATATTTGTCATAATGGATTGTTATTGATAATATTTTTATAAATTGTAAATTAGATGCTGAACCTTCTAACTTTTCTATGTTCAATAAAATCTCTTTGATTGATTTTTCAATTGCTTTATCCAAATCGGTTTCATTATATATGTTTGCCCTTGTTGCAGGTAAATTATAAAGTATCTCTGTATGTTTTATTACTCCATCATCATCATAATAATGATAAAATAAACCTTCTGCCCTTATATTCAGTTTCATTGCTCTATTAGTTTTCAAAAAGGTCAAAAGTCTATCTTTTTGGTGGTGTATCATTGATAGTGCCTTTTCACCTTGAAAATGTTTATTTACTAGTTTTATAGAATTAGCATAACTTTTGAAAGCTGATTGTTGGTCTGTTACTTGGAATTTATTTTTGATTGCATATTTTGTCATTGCATTTTTCATTCTTTGTTTTAGGTATGTTGAGCGCAATGTTTTTGTTGCATAACTATTATACTCATTAGTTCTTGCTTCTGATTTTAATTTCTTGTTCAAAACATTTGAGATGGGTTTTTCTTTGTTGTATCTAAATTTTCTACCATCTATAATTATTGATTTTAATTCCTTGTTTCCTCTTTTTGGAATTTCCGCTTTATCATTATTCAACAGATAATCTATAACATGTTTCATAATACTATACTATATAAATTTAATGTGTTTATTTCTTTAAGTGACTTTTTAGAAAATATACTTAAAGATTTAAAACCTTAATATAATAAGAGGAAAATGAACGGTGATAAAATCAATAATTATATCAATAAAAAATGCTATGATTGTTGTCATTTCAAAAAAGAAAATATGGAATTGTATAAATTAAATTTACCTAATGAAATAGTGAATAATATTATTAATTATTCAATGGATGAAAAAGTCGAATGTGAAAATTGCCAGGAATGGAGAGATAATCAATTTTTAATCAAATGTCTGTTGGGAATAAAAGAATTAATAGAAATGTAGAAGATGAGATTTTAATATTTCTAACTGTAAATAAAATACCACCTTATGATTATGTTAAACAGTTTCTTAAAATCAGTAAGAAAAAATATGAAATGATGGATGATATATTATGGTTGTTGTGTTATAGTCAAGATAAAGGAGAAGATGTTAAAGAAAATATCAAATTATTTATTGAAAGTAAAAAGTTTAATATTCAAAATACATTGAGAGATATTAATATTATTTTTAAAATGATGTATGAAAGAAGAAAGATTTGTCAATTAAATTATTATCCTGTACTGAAATTATAATCATACTATAATAATAACATGTAAAATCTTATATGTTATAATTATACTGTACTTATAGTTTGTAAAGATTGAAATATTTTATTTTTCTTGATTTGGCTTATCTCTTTCAAAGTGCGTTGTTTGAACTTGGTATGCTCTTTTGATTTTTTCGTGCTTTGGCTGTTTGTTTTTTATTTTGTTTGATACTCTTCTGATATTTTTTGATGGTATGTTGCTTTGTTTTTGATTTTGTGTGTTTTTGAGTTTGTGTTCTTTGATGGTTTTTATTTTTGCTGTTTTGTTGGTATGCTTGTTTGAATTATTTAATGTTTTATGCTTTGATTAAATATTTTGTTGGGGGTTGTTCTGGTTTTTGAGTTGCTTGGTGGTTCTTATCTTGTTTTCTGTGAATTTTGCCGATTTTGTTGTATGCTGTTTGATTATTTGGTTTTGATGTTAGAAGTGCCATTTTATGTATTTTTGGGGGAGGGCCTCGCCTAGGAGGGGTCATGGAAAAGTGAATTCCGGAAGCATTAATGAGGGCACACACATGGCCAGGCTAGGGCTCTTCGGCGTTGTGTTTCCCTATCTGCTGGCCCGCTGAGGCGCGGCCTGAAGGGTCCGGGAGTCGGGAACTCTAACAAGGCTTCAGGCTGCGGGGCTTTGAGGAGGTGTGGCTGGAGGAGGCCGAACACTTGCGGGGGCCTGCGGCGGAGTGCTGGGGCGGAGCCGTGGCCATCTCGGCTTATTCTTTGCTTCGACAGCGGCGGGTCTTCGTCCACGTCAAGGTCGCGGGCTCCGACGTCGTGGAGGTCCAGGACAGCTCCCACGCACTCGTCGACGCCGACGCGCCGGTCGCCCACCTCCTCTACAACGGAGTAGACCACTACAGCGCCTTGATCGAGGCGGAGCTCTCCAACGCAATGGCCCCGGCCTGGCCGCAGCCGCCGCCGCCGCGCTACTTTGCCCCGGCAATCGCGGAGGCAGCGGGGGCCACGGCGGCCGCTGTCTACGCGGAGGACTGCGTTCGCTTGCGCGGCGAGGGCAAGGGGTCGATTTTGCGGCCAGGAGTTTCCAAGTCTGGCCGCCGCCGCGGCCGCCCGCAAGCCGGCCCGCTCAGGCCGCGGACTTGGCCGCGCGCCGCCGCGGCCCGCCCAGCCCGCTCCGGCGAAGCCCCGGCGCCGCCTTTGGGAAAAGACCACGCCGGCGCCGGAGCTGCAGGACGACGTGATGGAGGAAATTGGCAAAGCCTTCGTGATCCCCGCAGCCCCTTCCGCCCCCTAGAGGACGCGGTGACGGAATTGGCGCTGAAGCTCCGCCTCCAGCCAACACTCCCGCCGGGCGCCGACGAAGCTGAGCTGAAGGACGGAGCAGTCTGGCCCCGCACCTTCTGCGCCTTTGACGGCTGTGGGTGGGAGGCGGCGGACGGCCTGGAGGCGGACCTAGCCCGACATCTTGAGACGGAGCACGCCGACGACTTGGAGCCCGTCGCCGCTCGCCTTCTCAGGCCTTGCTGCCCAGACGCGCTGTCGAGCGTTTACAACGAGGCGGTTGCTCAACGCTGCCGCGCCGACGTGCCGCTGGCGGGGTGCTCTTTGGACCGCACCGTGCTGCGCTCCTTTGCCAAGGCGACCGCGAAGGACAGCGTGGAGGCGCTGATTTGTTTCTGCTGCGCCTGCGTCTACACCCGCGCGGCGGAGGTCGGGGAGCGGAGCGAGATCCAATGGCGGCGGCCGCTGAGCCGCGCGCCGTCGGGGGAGGTTCTCTTCTTCGGGCGGCCGGCGGCTGCTGCGGCGGAGGTCCTTGGCTTGGAGCGCTTCCTAAACAAGTACGACCAGCTCGACGCCCCCGGCAAGAAGTTGTCCGACCACGAGACCTTCGCCTCCTGGAAGTTGCGGCTGCCTGGGCCCGACGACGTCGAGCTCTTGTGCTGCCCGGAAGACCACCGCTGCGGCGCGGCCCCTGAACACGTCGCGGAGGGCGTCCTCTGCGAGCACTGCGAGCTGCCGGTCTGCGGCGAGTGCCTCGACCACCTCGCAGAAGCGGAATTGCCCCCGCTCAGCTTGGCGAACGACATGTGGACGGGCTACGCCCCGGAGCGGATCTACGCGGAGGAGGCGACCGCGATGGAGCTGATCTGCGCCTCGCCCTGCGTGACCACCCTGATTTGCATGTCTATGGAGGCGCGGTTCCGCAGCGAGGCCGGCGCCCTAGACGAAGCGGCTCACATGGCCAGGCATCGCTTCGGGGCTCGAGGCAACGCTCTGTCCTTCCCGCTGCCCTGGGAAGACGTCTTGCAAGCCTTGCAGGCGGGCGGCGACCGGGCGGCGGCGCTGCCGCGCAGTGGGGCGGAGCTCGGCCAACTGGTCCGCGTGCTGCTCAAGACCAACAAGAAGGGCAAGACGACCGATGCGGAGATCAAGGGCCTCATCCACCAGGCGAACGTGCGGCGGGAGGTGGTGGTCAACCTCGTCTTGGACATGAAGCGCCTGGGCCATCCATCCTTCGTGGGTGCGGACGAGGAAGGCGTGCGACTTCGAGCAGCTGCGCTTCTGACCGACGGGGTGCCGCCCGAGGTGTTGAAGGTCGTGGCCCAGGCGCGGGGGGCACGCGGGTCGCGCCCGTCGCGAGATCGGCCTCGCTCTCGCATGTAGGTGGACGCCGACTTCGACGACGCCGAGGACAAGTTGCAGCCGCAGAAGGCGGCGACGCCGTGCGACGGGCGGCAAGAGGACGTCGCCGCCGCCGGCGCGACCTTTGCCGCCCAGCGCGCGCGGGCGGTGGTCGCGGAAGGTTGCGCGGAGGAAGACGCCAATCAAGCCGCGGCGGCCGCGCTGAAGAAGCTGCGGGAGGAGCTCGCGACGGAGGCGGAGCTGCGGAGCATGGAGAAGCTAGAAGTCAGGGCCGGCAATCAGCTCGTGGACCAGTTCCAGCCCCTCTACTTCGCCGTCGCCTTCTGCTTCTGCTTCCCCCGCGGGACCGCGTGCCCTGACGTCCGGAACTCTGCGGCGCGCGCGGAAGAAGAAGAAGGGCGCCGCAGCAGGCGCGAGAGGCGCGGCGACGGGGGGCGGGAAAGGGCGGGGCGAAGAAAAATCGAAAGGGCGACGTCGGGTCGATCGCGATTGCCAGGAGCGAGACCGGCGCGCCCAGAGTGAATATCCGCGCCTGGGCCGCGGCCATGCAGCGCCGAGTCGAGGCGCAGTTCCGACGCGACTGGACCTTCGGCTTCGCAGTCTGGAACTACCTCTTCCGGACGGCGGTCAACCTGCAGAAGAACGCCTATATGTTTTCGGCGCCCAACGCCGACGGCGGCGGCTATCACTCTCTAAAGCCGGAGGAGATCGTCGCGGGCGCCCAGGAGCTTGCCCGCCGCTTGAACGGCACGTACACGGACGTCAACGGCGGGGAGAAGCCGGTCCGCGGGGATTTGACCAAGCTGCGCTTTGCGAACTTGCAACCCGCCGCCCGCAAGATCTTGGCCAACGTCGAAGCCCGGGCCGCGAACATCCCCGGGACCCACGAGGCGCGCAAGACCATGCGCCTCCAGACCCACGCCTACCGCGTCTGCTACGGGACCTCGATCTTCTTGACTTTCTCGCCCTCGGAGCGAGACACTGCCCTGATGCTGCGCCTGGCGCGCGTGCGAGAAGAGGACCCCGCGCTGCTGCGGGACAGCGCGAAGAAGTTCCAGGCCCGCGGCGCGCCGGCGCTGGACGAAGAGTTCTGCCGGCTCAGCCCCGAGGCTTTGGCGGAGAGTCTGCCGAGCTACGAGGACAGGCGCGCGCTGCTAGCCAGGGACCCGCTGGCCTGCGCGGAGGGCTTCAGGACGGGCGGGCGCGCGTTTCGCGTCGTCGCCCGCTTGCGCTCAGGACGCTCGTGCTGCTGACGCTGCGCCACCTCTTGGGGGTCAGGTTCTGCCCGCGCTGCCCCAACTGCGCCGCTTCGGAGCGGCCGTGCAGCGACGCGTTCGAGGAGCAACGCCTTGGCCACGGGCGGGGTTTTGGGCAGGGTCGACGCGGTGTTTGGCTCCATCGAGTGAGCGGAGCCCTCCACGCCCACATGCAAGTGTTCGTCCAGTGCCGCCATCAGCGCGGGTCGCTGGCCAGCCTCCTTGACTTGGGTAAGCCCGAGCTCCAATCCTTGCTGCAAAGGTATGCCTCCTACACTGCCCACGTCCGGCGCTCCGTCTACTGCGACCCGGACGGCTGGGAGCGCGATCGGGCCGCCGCGGAGGAGGAGTGGCCGGAGTACAAGGACTGCGCCTTGATGTTGAGCCGGCCGGCCTACCAGGCAAGCCGCCGGCTGCGGCCCGAGGAGTGGACGCAGCGATACTTGGCGGAGGACGTGGAGCAGCTGCAGCGGCGCAAGCAACATCATGTGCATCTCCCTGCCGGCCCAGGCGGCGAGCGGCGGCCTCTGGCGCACTGCCGCGACTTCAAGGACCCGACGAGGTGTAAGAGCGGCTTCCCCCGTGACAGTCAATTGATTCTGGGCCGAACGGCTCTGGTCTGCCACGGCTTGGCCGAGCAGCTGGACCTGCCCGTCAAGGGCAAGCGGAGCTCTTTGGGCCTGCAGTGGGGCCCAGTCAACGACCCGAACCTCAACGGTAACCACCCGGCGCTGCTGGCAGCGCTCGCTGCAACGGCGACCTCCAGCTGCCTTACCGGTTCCCCGTGATGAAGGAGACCCACGACGACGCGCTCTGCCAGGAGGAGGCCTGCGTCGGCGACGGCGACGTCAAGCTGCTCGTTCGGGAAGCCCAGCGGAATCAGGCCGGGCAAGAATTGTGGCCGCGGTTTTGCCCGTTGCCCTCGCGTCGCGCAGGCCGCCCAAGCCGGCTACGGCTGCGACTACATGAACAAGCGGCTGCCCATTGCCGCGCACGAGCTCAAGGAGTGGCAGAAGGGCCAGCAGGAGCTGGGCGAGGAGTTGAAGGACAAGCCCGCCGGCTACGTGGGGGCAAGGGTGGCCAAGCGGTTGACCACCGACTGCTACGCCCGCGGCGTCAGCCGCGGCGCGGTGGAGTGCGCCAACCTGACCACGCGCGCGGTGGCCAACGACCCCACCGCGGCCGAGTCCGTCAAGACGGCGACCGTTCACTCGATCTCCTTGCGATTTGGCTTCCAGCTCCTGGACGCGGCCGCCGCCGGCGAAGTCTGGCCGACCGAGCCCAACATCTGCGGACGGATTTGCGGCCGCGTGCTTGGCAAGGGCGCGTGGTCTCCTGCCCCTTCTGGACGTTCTATGGCGCGCGGGGGCGCGCCGCGCAAGTCTATGAGCTCTGCGCCTTCGAGTTCGCGCGCCACTTCCGCTTCCAGCAAGCCAAGCGGCCCTTCACTTTGGCGCCGATGACGGGCGAGCTCAGCGGCTATCACGCCGCGCTGACCGACGCCGGGGCGGCGAAGCTTGACAGAAGCGCGCGGGCCAACTTGCAGCCCGGGGTGGACTACAAGATCCGCGAGGAGGGCGGGGAGGACTGGCTTCCGCTGGGGCGCGGGGCGCTCGCCCAGAAGTTCAGACACGACTGGGTCCTCGCGCCCCGGAGCAGGCGCGGACGGCGAAATAAGGCGCGAGTCGTTTAAGGACAGCGCCGATTCTCGCCAGGCCCCACGTCCCGGTGGTCCAGGGCGCGCTCGGCGGCCGCTCGGAGGTGGACTACGCGAGGTGCGTCTTGCTGCTCTTCTGCCCGTGGACGACCCACCCCGACGACGCCTCCGCCGCCGTCCCCTACCTGGACATTCATATGTCCGGTTTTTTCCCCGTCATGCGCAAAAAATATGACACCGTCAAGTTTCCACCCGAAAAAGCGTCACTGACAAAAATGCCCCCCCTCCCCACACCGAAAATTGGGTTCCCCAAACTAATGAGGGGCCCGCAGTAACCAGAAGAACGACCCACCAAATGTACTTGTATGGCAAAGCTTGGATTGTGTAAATGGATGGAAAGTACTTGTGAGCGAGCTGGGTTTGTCTCTCTAGCAGTGCTATAACTATTTTTTGGCTCCATTTGCACACCTGAACCAAAATGAAGATATGGGTTGCATGTGGTTTCTGAGCGACTGAGAAACACCCCCCGAATAGGCACACACACACACAACAACAACAACCTGACCTTGCCCGCGCGCCCGCTCCCAGCTCCAGCTGCCCCGCTGTTTTTCACGCAGGGTCAAACGTGCGAATCCAGTGAACTGCCGCCGTGCACAAAAACCGCCCCAGCGTGTTCACGCTAGTCCCGCGGTGATGGCAGCCAGATGCCTAAGGCCCAGGTGTGCTAGGGAGTGCGCATGCTAGAGTAAACAGTATCGGTCTTACGAATATGTATGTTCCAAGCGTCTATGTCACACATCCGTCTCACAAAGTCCTCGTCCCCAAAGCAGGCGTTGATTTTTGGACTCAAAGCGCACGTTCGCAAACGAAGCCACAAGTGCAAGTACGTGTGAAGCCTAAGCTATTTTTGTGCGCATTGTTTTTTGAACTGCTGCGCGTAGCACGCCGTGCAAACCATGTTGCAAACCAAGCCACTTAGGGCGCAGTTTGTAGGCCCTGCGGTTGTCCAGGTGCGCTGCGTAAGCAAGCCATAAGTAGCCAAGCACAAACCGGAAGCTGCGCTCGATGCCCCTCTCCACATCCGCGGGGGGGATGAAGAAGCCAGATTGGTCAATGATAGAAATACCGGTATGCAACGCACGCACGGTCCTTAGTTTAGCTAGCATATAGGGCTAGCTCTAGTGTACTGGGCATAAAAGCAACCAAGCCACATCGCGAGAACTGCAGCGTATTGAGGGTCAAGGCGGCCGCGGGGACTGCGGCAGAAGAGGGCGACCATTTCAACCTGAAACCACATTTTTGTTGAGAGCGTGTGCGCCGGCTAGCAGCTAAACATCATTTTGATGTCAAGTCGCCAACCAGTAAATCAAGACCTTGCAATCGTGCCCTTTTGCAAATAGCGTGGGAAAATTGCCCTCGTAGCCGATGACAAACTCATCGCAACTGAGCTCCCGTGTCCGCCCAGGCCCTGCGTTGCTCCAAGCTTTGGCGCACTCGAAAGCACCGGATAGCTGGTCAGGAGCGAACATGTCTAATAGCGCAGATGCGATCAGATCCGGGGCAAAGCCTCTGTAAACAACATGCAGCACGTCGTCCATGATAGTAAGATTGCTGAAATCCGAAAGGCGCAGCAAAGGAGAAACCCACGCGCGAGCGCAGCGAAGCAAGCTTGAAAATTCCTGAGCACACGCTTTCTGATTGACGCAAGCCACTCAATTATATTATTGTTGCAGCCACGTTTCCGCGTAGGTCTCATCCGAGTTGTCCCAGCCCGCGTCTCCAAACACATTCAAGTAGTGGCAGCTATTTTGGCCACAGAATAGAGGACCATCGTTGGGGTCATCCGTGGAGGCCATCCTCAAGCTCAGAAAACTGACATCGCAAATTTGCGAGTTGACATAGCTTTTTGCGTGCCAGGAGCTTGCATATGTGGCACATCCTCCACGCGAGCACGTATGCACGCACACCATACCAACAAGCTCATGCATAAAAGACGCACGCGTACTCGCGGTCCTGTTCCCATGCGCACCGCCATTGCCGCGCCAATGCCGGAAGCTTAGTTTGAGTCAGCTAGCTCAAGCACAATCCCACACACAAGGTGCGCCAACTGCGTAAGGCTGCCGCTAGTGAAAGACTTGTTGGAACCATTTCAGGTCGCCTCCAATGCTGTAGAATCGTCCGCGAACTGTTTGGCCGTCAAGATCGATGGGCCTAAGCGTGAGAATTTAGCACAAACACACTCAGCACTAAAAAGAGCTAAGAAGCAGGTCCTCCAAATCGGCGACCAAGATGTCAAAAATTTCATCGATAGTTGACCGGCAGTGGTGTTTCTTTTGAAACTGACGCGTAATGAGCATGTGTCCAGGAATGACACCTCAAATTCAACGCGTCCCTCGCCAACGCTGTAATCGAGCCAAGGCTCAAATCGGAAGTCGCGTGAGCAAAGTGTCCTGAAAGAATTAAATGCCGCAAACAGCAAACGGGTGAAGGGGGGAAACTATATGCAACCAGGAAACTCCGTTGTGCGTGAAAGGCGTAGACACGTTGATAATGAGCAAGTTCCTCTTCTTGTAGTAAGGGCCCTCGTCACCATGGATGCGTAATGGTACATCACGCGGTCCTGCAAATGTTGAGTCCAAACAAGCAAACTGTTAAAACCCTCTAGGCCCCGTGCCGAAATTGGGTAGCTGTTCTGAGGTCCTTGTTGGTGTTGCTTCCCAAGTTCCATTGATCGCCATTTGGCTCAAGACACAATTGAGGTTCAAGATCTGATGTGTGACTGCATACCTACGTGATCGGCATTAGAGCGGAAAACACTTCGCTTGCGCTGCATTTGTCAGGACCACTGTTGTAACTATCATTCCTTTCCCTTACAACGTTTACACGGGTTCGGCTATAACGGCATCGTCCGTATACACCTTTCTACGTGGTTGGTATTACAGCTTGAGGGTTCGGTGCATAGCGTCCCACGGGACGTCACCTTGCCGTCTCTTGACAGGTTATCAGCCGTAACTACAAGCTCTACACTGGACTGGGAGACAGCTGGTTTATTGCGGGTACAGGGACAATAAAGGAACGATAACCTACACAGTACAATGGCGTCTTCGGCGAGCCCAAGTACTGCAACTTTTTGGAACAGCAGCTCAGAGGGATCCAATGGATTGATGGCTCTTCCTGCGGTGATGGATATGGTTGCAGATTCACAGGATGAACCTGGGAGCGGAGGTTCCGCGCTATTCAGCGACATATCTACTCCCACAAGATCATGGAAGCAGATCGATGTTCATCAGGAGTCGAAGAAAAGAGAATCCCCACCGAGAAGATCATCATCTTCGCCTGCGACACCACGGACGTCGCAGAAGGGCGTGAGATCGACATCGAAGGGTGGGAGGTCAAAATCACCCACCAGTGCAGATTTTCGCGCCGTGATCAAAGAGAAGAATAAGATGGAGGTGGAGATCGGGGAATATCAGAAGACACTTGATGAAATGTCGGCAGCAATGGCGAATCTTAACCAAGAAGACTATGGAAGCACCATCCGGATCCAGGAGCTGGAAAGACGATGCGAGATTGCCAGCAAGCAGTCGGGACATCTAGTGAGTCACCACCAACACCACATGGCTGAGGCATGGCGCAAGTTTGAGGAAGAAGCCCAACAGATGCGCAAGGTGGAAATGAACGCATTTCAGTACGGGGAGAAGAAAGACATGGAGTCGAATATTATAATGCAACAGATGAGGCAAGCTGAAGGAACTATCATGGAGCAGAAGCGGGAAATTGCATTGATGAAATCCTACATGGCAAGCGAGAAGTCGGCCGCGCAGGAATCAGCTATACGTGCAAATCAGATACACCGTGAGGCTTCACAACAGATATCAGTTTATCAGCAACAGATCAGAGGCATAGAATCTTCTACATCTATCGAGAAGTTCAACGAGGAGGAGATGGTCCAAAGTCTGAAATCACAGTTGGAGCATGCACTCGTCAAGCGCCCCGAGACGTACTCTTTGGAGGACTCCAGGGAACAGCTGATGGCGAGGCTGAATGACGTTACAGTATTTGCGGAACAGGAATCGAAGAGAGCAGATTGCTTGCTTCGCGAAAAGGAAGAGATCGTCAAACAGTATGAGTCCGACGTGTCGATGAAGGACCAGATGATTGCTGTCGAAGGTGGTCATCGTCAGGATGCGATCTTGGAGTTAGCCCAGGTCAAAGAAGAGAAACAAGAGGAACGGTGCACGATGGACGAGAAGTCGAAGGAGGCTGAGTACTGGAGATTGACAGCTAAGGGAATGTACGATGAGTACCTCGAGGAGATGCATGAGCTTCAGAGACAACTGAAAGAAAGAGAGGCGACGCTCAAGCAAGAAGAGAGTTTTGTACGCCAACTCGATGCTGACAACGAGGAACTACGTGCACACAAGAAGCTGGAGACACAGGAAGCCTCCAGCAGCAAAGATGGACATCGTGAACGAGCAGTAGTGAAACGCGCTGAGGGAGGAACCCAGGCTAATTCAAATAGGATAGACAAGAAGGTGGCTGGGTCAGTCCCGTCATCGTCTTCAAATCAAATCCCTAATTCGTCGCTGATGCCAGGTTCGATCCTCTTTCCGTCTTTCAGTGATCCAATGATCGATGTACACCTATCCCAGACGCAAGGGGTTGTTGGGCATGTCCCACAATCCACTACTACGACTGGTGGTGGTGATGGGGGGGGAAACAACGGTACTACAGTTAGGTGAGGCCATGCGCAACTTTTTTCGGACTCAAAAGTCTAGGGTCCACCCTAGGATTTTTTGCATTTTTTGAATAAGCGCACCAAAACAGCCATTTTAAAACATTTTTTGAAACAGTCTAAACACATTTTGATAAATATTTTTTTAGTACTGCATACCAAAACAAAAATTGAATTATTTTTTGAAAAATTCAATACACCTAAACATGTTTATTTTCAAAAACACACATTTTCCAAAATATTTTAGAAAATATATTTTTTTCAAAA